AACTCGCACTAATGAACATATATCAGGAAACAGCTCTGCCAAACGATCTCCCTGCTGCTTGAGCTGGAAGGAGCACCAACGTGTTTGATTCCAAGCCATTTGATCCCAAAGTGAGATTCGTTTCAAAACACCATGTCAGACTGAATTAAGACCAGCATGGCTCCAATATACCTTATCTGACCCAAAAACATGTTAAAACCTTGGACTAAACAGTGCAGATACTACACACTCTTAAAAATAACCACCGGAAAAAGAGGTTCTTTGGAGCTTTGTATAGAAGAACTCTTTTGGTTCTTTAAAGGTACTTTCAATTAAGTGTTTCCTTTAACAAAATCTTTTGAAATGTTCTTCAGAACCTTTATCTTTTAGTACATAGATCACAGTCTTATAACAAGGGCTGTTCTGAATGGGGTCTGGGAATTTGTTTTTAGGTTTGGGGGGAGGTGCTGAAATTTTTAAGCAGCATATGATGATTTATCTTGGCAATTAGGGTGTATTTGCTTGTAGAATCACCATAAATGATTGGAATGAATAGAAATAAACTTAGACAGTGAAAAGTGATGTGATTTCTTGTAAGCTAGACTGAAAAACAAAGTTTGGTTCCAGGTTCTCCTCGGTTCCCCCCCGCCATCGCATGGATTTGTTAAATTCCATCACCAGCACACCTGGTTTAACATAAAAAAGCATTGATTGGCTGAAGCATAATTACAATTAATATCTAGTTGCCACAAGGAAAAGTTCAGAAAAAACAAACACACCAACCCGCATAAAATCACTACTTATTGAATTAATATTATTTGTAGTTATACTTATGTGTTTTTAATGTATGTATAATTATATACATTAAAATTATACATAATTATAATTAATGTATATATATATATATATATATATATATATATATATATATATATGTTGATCAGGCACAACATTATGACCACCTCCTTGTTTCTACCCTCATTGTCCTTTTTATCAGCTCCACTTACTATATATGTCCCTCAAGCCAATTACAATGAAAAACGGCTGACAGAATCAAAGACATTTAGTCATTGGCCAAGAATCGAGGCCGACTCCCAGACGTTTTGGAATCAAAGAATCGACTCTTGGAATTGACTCCCCATCAAATCAGAATGAAAGCTTATCTTTCAGTATGTCACATGGGGGGAAACAACAATAATAAACAAACAAAAAACACACGCACACAAAAAAAAGGTTAATCAGTCACTTAGACCCAGTCCCATTTCTTCTTTTTACCCCTACCCCTTGGTTTCGAGTGTCACTCTAATCCCTAAAAAAAAAAAACAAAAAAAAACATCACTTCATTAACAGCTACCAGCGCTGCTCTGTAGGCGACCCTGCCAGTCTGCAGTGACAGCAGAGGAGGGTAAAGTTCAGCTCCTCACTGCTGGGCTTTAGTTACATTTAGGGCATCACATGCCTTCGAAGAGGGGGGCAATTATTTATTATTACCCACCGCTACTTCCTTGGTGATACAAAGCTGAAGTCAGATATTCACCAGCTTCCTGTTCGAATTTTTACTTAAATAGTTTAAGGTGGGACGGGAAAGTTAGCTAGCTAGCTACCGAAACATTAGCATGCTATTAGCAAATTGTTTATGCTTGTTATGAAGAAAACGACCAAAATACACTGAAGACATTAAACTAAGATGATATAATGGTTATTGTAATTTAAAAATTTTTTAAAGATACTTACATTCGTGGGTTTCTTTGGTCTCTTGTTCAGCCATTTTGCCGAAAAACCAGCAAAATGGCTGAACAAGAGACCAAAGAAACCCACGAATGTAAGTATCTTTAAACATTTTTTAAATTTTAAATTATTTTTTAAATTACAATAACCATTACAATAACCATTATATCATCTTAGTTTAATGTCGGAACCGGGGAGGGGTGAAATGGGATTGGGCCTTGGAATCATTCTAATAACCCCCACCCCTTATGGTGCCCCAGGGCCCTCATTCAGAGAGTGTTGTATTACATCCTGTTTTAAACTATTACTGTGATCAAGGTTTTATACCTCATTCTAATACATTCTGTCTTCCCTTGTTCATCTTACATGGAGGTCTTTTCAAGCGTGTGCCATTTGCTGTCTTTACATCTCTTAAAAACTCTTCTCCTCAAACCCCTCATCAGAAAATCTGCAGCCTAATCGCACTGAGGGTGATGAAAACTGCTCTGTGCCAGTGTCACCATAAATCCAGACGCACTCTGCCATTGATAAAAATGGGCTCATTTTCACTTCATTACACCAAATGATCCAGATTAGTTTGGACTGGGGGAGGTCTGTTGTGATATATAGGGCGCTGTGGTGCCCAGCCTCTCTGTGCTGGAGCTGTGCAGCGATAGATGGGTGAAAGGTTGGAGAACATGGGGGATTTATAGTCCAGTTACTAAACACTGAGGGGAAAACTCCCCATACCCATTAACTCCCACTCCATTAATCCACAGCCGGCGCTGCTTGTCATAAGAAAGCCAGAATGCAGTCAGTTCACAGCTCGGAGGCCGTCGTCTGCTGGAGATAATAGGAGAGATTCCGAAAACCCATATATCTGGAAGCCTGCAGAGCCTCATGGTGCTTGATACACTAGTAAAATATGGCTCTGAATGTCTGATGTTATGAGTAAAGCTCTGCTAATAGCTTCGCCCATAAATGCATTCTTTTATAGTTTCAGGTTACCTGTGGTGACTATGTTCTGGGCCCTGTTCCCCAAAAACATCTTTATGTCAAGATCATCTTCACTGTTAGAGATAGTGGTCAGCGTGATGCTCGTTCCACCATTTAAGAATCATCTTTGAGGTACAATGCTTTTGGGAAACCGGGCCCTGTATGTTTTGACACTTTTGTAGGATATATGTTAATGTAAACGTCATGTCGATCGGCTTAAATAGGAATACAGACATGATCTGGGCATTTATAGCACCAATGTCCAACATTAACATTAGACATGGAAAAATCTAAAAATGTCAAGTTAAATCACATAATATGACCAAAAGACAATTAAAGTATAACTGAGTACTTTAACTTTACTCCCAACCTTCGCAACCTTTACTCCCAAACTCTGGTTTTCTAGCAATTTGACAGTTAGCGTTAGCTGAGCTCAGTGGGTAATTTGTCATGAGGTCCTTACCTTCGAAATCAAATAGGTACTTCTCAAAGAAAAGCTTGTAGCCCTTGTCAAGTTTGCTCCTCTCTGAAAATAAAACGGCTACACTAAACATCTGTCTTTGATAAATTAGTTAAATACCTGTTAGGAATTGTTTTACTTTGATTTAATTTCTTCTTTTGCTTTAAGTTGTTATTTTTCGTTAAACAGTATTAATGCAGAATGGTTTAAGAAGCCACCTCCATTTCTGTTCCCATAGGTTGAACAGCTACAGTGAATGGCCTTACAACACTCCCTAAGGAGGATTTCCAGGGGCAGAGCACTCAGTTTACATCAACAACTCTGGTCGTTTTTCAACAGTAAGGTTTTCACGACAGGATCTAAGAGCTGAGACTTCAGTTTTATGATGGTACCAGGGGTCCTGAAGGGGGGTTGATGGCCAGGTATAAAAGTGGTATGTCTGATCCTCTTTAGATTGGGGTGAAGATTGGCAGGTGTGCAGAGCTCAGAATAAGCCATTATTTCTAAATGTCTTCCATGGCAAGATCAAAGATTTTCTACATACCTTACTGAGGACATAAAGGGAGTCGTCCACATTCTCATTCAAGAACACAGCCTCTGTAATTAGGGGTGTAACGATGCACTCTGCCCATGATTCAATTCATGATACTAAGTTCACGATTCGATGTTCTTACGATATTTAAAGAAAATTTGAATGAACAAAAATTATGAATGACATTCCCTTTTTTGTTTCTGAAGTGTAAACGGTGCAGAATAATGCATTTGCTTGTAAACGTTTTTAAACCAAAAACTCTGGTCCCCTGCAGTTAAAGGAAATTACTAGGAACAGAGCTTAAAATCTGTAAACAAAATATTCTGTTGTAGCTTCAGCCTGTATTAAATATCAGATCAAAGTGAAAACATTCCTTTTTTCTGAAGATTAACAATTCAAATAATGTGTAAAATGAAACAAATTTGTATTTAATTAAAAAAAAAACTTTACCCTCCTGCAGTTAAAAGAAATTTACAAGGAAATGCGAAAATTGCGACACTGAGTGACACTGGAGTTTTTTTTGACGGACAGCACGGTGGTGGCTGTTTTCAGAGGTTTCAGAAGGTTCACAATATCCTCGGCATCACTGATGTTGGAGCCGTCCAGAGTAGCGATTTCACGGGCATTTCGACGCATCTATTTCGCACAAGAACAGCCGTTCCGGCTGCTTGTTGTCCAAGACAGCGAGCTAAGCCATTTGTGTGATGACATCCATACTGCGCTTATGCAGTGGGATCTATAGCAGTTTCTGTTTACCCGTGAACACGGTGACCGCAGCGGCTAACGTTATGCCTCTCACTCGACCCAGAAAATGACTGACGCGGTTTACACCTAAGACTTAAAGTGCTTTAAAGTGCTTGGGAAGATTTAAAGTGTGCTACCACTACATAAAACACTACGTGTGGTGGTAGCCCAGCCTCTTTCACTGCTACCCCCATATAGTGCGCTCTGCCCCCCCTAGTTGTAATCTTTGTCCCTACTACTTTCCCTCAAACACAGCTTTTGCACTAAAGCAGTTTTCTGATTTGACTGTTCTGTTTCCAGTCGCTTTGAAGAAGCCACTTTCCCTGGCACTTTGAGTTCACCACAGGCTTCAGCCCAAAAATGACACTCTTTTGTACTGTTTTGATTTGCTACACTAGTTATGTACAAACAACTCTTCAGCCTCAGGAACTGAAGCTTGAACACATCAATGTGGTCACACTGACTCGAAGTTTATTGCCATAATTGCGGCTTACAATGCTGGTTGAGTCATAATGACGAAGAGGCTGTTGTGAGTGGATGTTCTGCGGTGCTGGGCCTGTGATAGGTTCTAAAAATACTCACTCTGTCCAATCGGTGACATAACAGTACATCAGTCGTCGGGCGTGATAGGGCAGCCAGCAGACCACAAAGGCAATAACCACAGCGCCTGGAAAGAGAAAAGGAACAACTGAACATAGTGATAAAGACATCCATTTCTTTGCTAGCGCTGGGAAAAGGGTGTGCATATATATATATATATATATATATATATATATATATATATATACACCGACCAGGCATAACATTATGACCACCTCCTTGTTTCTGCGCTCATTGTCCATTTTATCAGCTCCACTTACTACATAGGTGCACTTTGTAGTTCTACAGTTACAGACTGTAGTCCATCTGTTTCTCTGATACTTTGTTAGCCTGCTTTTACCCTGTTCTTCAGTGGTCAGGACCCCCATGGACCCTCACAGAGCAGGTACTATTTGGGTGGTGGATCATTCTCAGCACTGCAGTAACACTGACATGGTGGTGGTGTGTTAGTGCGTGTTGTACACTGTGTCCACTTACTGTCCACTCTTTTACCTTGTTGGTACGCTGTTGGCTGGATATTTTGGGTTGGTGGACTATTCTCAGTCCAGCAGTGACACTGAGGTGTTTAAAAACTCCAGCAGCACTTCTGTGTCTGATCCACTCAGACCAGCACAACACACACTAACACACCACCACCACATCAGTGTTACTGCAGTGCTGAGAATGATCCACCACCCAAATAGTACCTGCACTGTGAGGGTCCATGGGGGTCCTGACCACTAAGAACAGGGTAAAAGGGGGCTAACAAAGTATCAGAGAAACAGATGGACTACAGTCTGTAACTGTAGAACTACAAAGTGCACCTATATAGTAAGTGGAGCTGATAAAATGGACAATGAGCGTAGAAACGAGGAGGTGGTCATCATGTTATGCCTGATTGGTGTATTTACTCACTGTGATGATTGTTATAGAATAATAGAAACAATCAGGAATGGTAAATTAATTTTGTCATGTTGTGTCCATCTGCCTAACCAAGCCACTTTGTGTGCCTTTCTCATTCCTTGCAGACATTTGCAGTAATGGGCAGTGTTTTATGCAAAGCAGATGAATTTTGCCCGTAGAAGGCTAATGAAGCGAACTGGTCAGACTAATGATGTCCGAACATTCAGACTGACTGAATGATCGGGTCAGCAATTAATAATACACTCTGTGCAAACTGATTTTCCTGAGAGAGGCACAGATAGATAGACATCATAGGAGTAGAGCGGCCTTTGTATGGATGTATATATAATACTGATACAAACTTTGCATCCTTTTTTCCATAATTTGAAAACTCAGGTTATTCTTTGCCTTGATGAACAAACCAATATGAGTGTTCTTGTATATTTAGGTGCTCTTTGACCTTGACAACAAGAGTCTATGTGTGTCATTAAACCTTCACCTGCCTTAATTACCTTCTCAAGATGCAGATCACACGTCCAGAAGTGGTGGGCCTACACCCCTAAAAACAATGGTTCTTAAGGAGTTCAGTAAAGAGATGGTTCTGTATAGAAACGTGAGCATTTTAAAGAAGGCTTTGCATGATTCAAGGGTTCTTTGCATCGTTAAAGTGTTCTTCATACTGATGGAGAATGTGCTGTAGATGGTTCTATATAGAACTTTTCTGAAAAGGGTTCTATCTGGCTCCAAAAATGGTTCTTCTATTGTTACGATGGCAAGCCTGTAACAATAGAAGAACCCTTTTTGGAGCTAGATAGAACCCTTTTTTAAAAAGGTTCTATAGAAAACCCATATAAAACACTCTCCATCAATCTGAAGAACACTTTAGTGATGCAAAGAACTCTGTAATCATGCAAAGCCTTCTGTAAATGTTCATGTTTCTATACAGAACCATTTTCTTCGCTAAAGAACCCTTGAACAACTATCTTTTTAAGTGTGTAGCTCATAGCTATGATGTACTGTCACAGCAACTTTTTCATTAATGGTGTCGGTGTTTGTTTTGACCCGACAGGGTTCACTAGGTTCTGCTTGGATAGATAACTTTGTTAACATCTCTGAAGAATGTCAGGTTCTAGCTTAACTTAATTTCTTAGTAGAAATATTTTCATTTTGTAAATTTCCCTATAAAATTTCATAGTATGGTGCGAATCTTTGTGGGGGGGGTGCATTCTTTCACAGCAAACGTCAATGGATTGGTTGTATTTGATTCATTTAGGCAGAAAACAGAGTAAAATGTAACAGTAGTTTGTAACAGAGTGGCTTACAGTGAATGTCGATATGCTTTTCCTTGTGTTTGCACAGTAAAAACATTAGTTTTAGAAACGTTTCTCTTTGGCAGTCATGCTGTGTCGCTTTTGCACAGTGGCAGCCACTCGCAAAAGTTACTTCTCTTGAGCAAAATGTCACTACAGTCATGCACAAAACAGATGTTTTTCCCTCACGAAACCTGAAAACAAAAGCATCGCAGACACATTCACCTTTGCCGACTGTAATCAAGAGGTCACTGTGTTTCCTGGTATAGTATCAGCTTTTGTTCACATGGTCATTTCTTGGGATCTGTACTAGGTTTTGTGTAGATAAACTGCTGCGTTGAGGTTGAGCTTAACTGCATTTTGACTCTGGCTTGTGTTCACACACAAAGGGGAATTCCACCAGTTTTCCAAAATTTCTGAATAATTCAATCATTGAGATGTGAACAGAGTCAGTCTGTGAAGTCATACATTGTGGAGAAACTTACAGGCTCAGATTTCTTTACAGTGGAGGTGATGGGAACCAGGGGTCCTGATGTCTACAACACACATACAGCCGTTTTATTTACTATCCAGCACCACCAGTGAACCTTCATGTGTGAATTTTTATATACAGTGTTGATGCTGGTAAAATAGTAGAAAATCTGACAAAATAAGTTTGCTTTCTTTCTTTGGGGACTTTTTTGCCTTACAACACCCTGCATGTATCCCTCCACCGTGACTAGATTAAAACAAATGGATTAAAATACATTTTAAGCCAAACTTTATCTCAAAAACTGTCATAAAACAAAAAAAAATGTATGACATCAGGCAGCAAATGTCTAACAATTTCATGTCATAACAGCTTTTAGAGGCATTAAACTCTTCAGACGTCTGGTTCCCATCAAAACCACTGTGAATGATTCTGACTCAGTATATTTCTCTCGAACTGAGAATTTCGCCTCAAACCTCCCTTTTAACCCCTTTAATGTCCAGGACCAGCCGGTGGGCCCAAAAATGTATTCCACACTTCTATAACCTAAAAATAACTCAGCCAGTTTGCAGTGGAGTCCCTGTAATTACTGAATAATAAGGCTTAGTATGTAATAAGCCTGTTATTACAGGGGGTTAACTCCTACCTGTTCAATTCATGCATGCAGAAATGGGGTTATATGTTGATTTTGGAAATTGAGAAAAATATTAAGTGGCAACGAATCTTGGAATCAACCAGAATTTGTGGAATCAAACAGCCTGACAGCCTACAAAGCTGAAATGGAGATTTTCACTGGTTTTCCAGTGAGTTTGTGCCTGTAGGTCAGTGGTTTGTGTGGTTAGGGAGAGTGCATTTCTTTCCAAGAAACAAATTAGTAGGTGAAATGATGGGTTGCCCCTGTTGTTCATGCAGCCGTGATGTAATCTGGGTTAATAGTTGCTTGCTCAACGTGACCCAGAGGTCGTACTCCAGACCAGAGAAACCACTCACTGCTAGAATGAATACAGTCTCTGCCACTATGGAAGCAGCAGATAAAATGAATGTGATGTCCGCAAGCACACGCTAGCATGATGACAGGCCTTAGTGGCTTCCAGGAAAAAGAACAACCTCCCAGAGATATGAAGTGGGCTAGCCTGGGTTGAGGGCTCTTCAAGAGGGACTGTTTTCTATTACTTTCATCCCTTGCCAATCACCCGCCTTTGTTGAGACGCGGTGGCGTTTAGGGGGTGGTGGTAGGGCTGACTTGTTCTGAAGCCAGAAAAGAATGATCTGAAACTAGACAACATAGACGACATTGACAAACGTGTTGGGACACATACATGTTACACCTACAGAAGCTTTTATGACATCCCACTCTAAATCCATAGGCATTAATGGTGAGTTGGTCCTCCTTTGCAGCTCTAACAGCTTCCATACTTCTGGGAAGCTTGTTGGAGAGAGTCTGTGGGAATTTTTGCCCATTTATCCAGAAGGGCATTTGTGAGGTCAGACACTGATGTTGGACGAGAGGGTCTGGCTCACAGTCTCTGTTCTAGTTCATCCCAAAGGTGTTGGATGGGGTTGAGGTCAGGGCTCTGAGAGGGTCAGTCAAGTTCTTCCACACCAAACTCACCCAGCCATGTCTTTATGGACTGGGTCTCAGTCATGCTGGAACAGGAAAGGTTCTTCCCCAAACTGTTCCCACAAAGTTGGAAGTGTACAAAATGTCTTGTTCTGCTGAAGCATTAAGATTTCCCTTCACTGGAACTAAGGGTTCTAGATCAACCCCTGAAAAAGAACCCCATATCATCATCCCTCCTCCACCAAACTTTACAGCTGGCACAGTGCAGTCAGGCAGGTAACGTTCTCCTGACATTCACCAAACCCAGACTCGTCCATCAGACTGACAGATAGAGAAGTGTGATTCATCACTCCACACAATGAATTTCCACTGCTCTGGAGTCCAGTGGTGGCACTTTACACCACTCCATCCAACGATTGGCATTGTGCTTGGTGCTCAGCTACGGAAACGCTGACATGAAGATGCTGGTGCACAGTTTTGGTGCTGATTTTAAAGCCAGAGGAGGTTTGAACTCTGCAGTTATTGATCAGCAGAGCGTTGGTGACTTTTATGCTCTGTGCTCCTCAGCACTCGGCAACCCGCTCTGTAACTTTACATGGTCTGACACTTCGTGGCTGAGTTGCTGTGGTTCCTAAACACTTCCAGTGTTCCATAACACCACTCACAGTTGATCATGGAACATCTAGAAGGGAAGAAATTTCGCAAACTGACTTGTTGCAATGGTGGCATCCTATTACAGCACCACACTCGTATTCAGTGAGCTCTTTAGAATGACCCAATCTTTCACAAACGTTAGTAAAGGTTGCATGGCTAGGTGCTTGATTATATACACCTGTGGCAATGGG